TTTACTCATGTTGCTCATGTCCTTACACATGCTTTTGAGCTTCCTCAAGATCATGGCTCTGAATTCTAGTTCTATTAACTTGCTTAACTGCACCTCATTTATCTCATCTTTGGTAGAGGTCTCTTGTTCTTTCATTTGGCATTTGTTTCTTTGTTTCACCTTTTGGGCTATCTCAGTGGTCTTTGAGCCTGCCAAATTTTCCCTGTGGGTGTTGATGTTTTGCTGTTTGTGGCTCCCTCTCCTCGGTTTGGATGAGGCAGGGAGGACCCAAGTTAAACACCACTGTCAAGTCTTACCTTCCTGAGCAGAGTTGCAAGCCCCGGAATGGTTCAGTTATTCTTTAGTTTTTTTGCCTGGAGGTTATTAGTTGCAGATACTTGAAGAGCCTTGGCCTCTCAGTTGAATGAAAAACTCCCTCCGGTGTTCAGCATAAGGGGATTTCCCAAGAGTGGGGCAGATGCTGGTTGTTAATGAGCCTCAATTTGCATTTCAATGGTCACTAGGTGGGGCTGAATCCTCAGGGTGGGGCCACTGCCTCTTTCCAGATTCCTGGGAAGGAGTAAGATGACCACTGTCCTGTGTGGCCTCAACTCAGTAACAGCTCTGAAAGCCCTCTAAATCCTGAGTGTCCCCACACAGTTCCAGTCCAGTCCGCCCTCCATGAGCCAGAGCCAAAGTGAGTGTCCATAGGTATTTTGGCATCTGTCCTAGCTCTGGGCTGTGGGGCTGCTTGGGAGTTTAATCTGAGGGCGCTGCTCACAGCTAAGACTGCTGCTGTCTGTGGGCTTCCAATCCCCCTCTCACGCCTCTGCAATCCTACCAGGATTGAGTCAGTGTCCCTAGTTATATGGTTCTCCAATCTACTTTTTTATTGCTTTTTTCCTGATGATTTGTCTTTATTTTAGTTGTAATTCCAGTTTGGTCCTGGGAGATGGTCTGTGTACCTTCCATTCACTCTGCCACCATTTTGGAATTCTTAAAAGCATTCTTTCTTTTTGGCAAGACTTGATGTTCCAAAACCATCCTAATTTTTCTTACTTCTAGGTATGGAATCAGGTACCCTCTGGAAGTCCTTTCTCCTATAGGTGGAGAATAGTATCAGGGAGCAAAAGGTGTGATGTGTAAATGTGCTTTTCTGTTGCTGTGGGACCAAATTTTATAGTGATAGAGCTAAAAATATCTATTTTTTAGAGCCAAAAGTTTAAACTGATTTTTTCATTTTAACATATCAAGTTACTACACTTTTCTTTTTATGTAGTCATATTTGTCTAGATGAGAAAAGCCACTCCTTACAACAAGAAGAAACATATTATCATAACTGCTGAAAATTCAATTAATCAAATTTACCCCCAGGAAAATTAGCTCCTTCAAACATGTTTTGACTTATTTCTCTATTTAATTAAACCAGTGCATAACTGGAACATTATGAACTCTCTAGGGTTGAAGATCATCTCCAAAATCATGAGTGCTGTCAGAGTTGCAAAAACCATGCTTTAATTATTTTACTCTGTTTTCTAGGGATCAAGAAAGCACAAGCAATAAAGATTTTAATTTGCTCAAAGATTTTGCAGAAGATTCTCAATTATCATTTGAGGTCTTAGTGTCATAATAACATTGTGTTTCTCAATCATCCTAAAGAATAAATATTTTAAGTCATTCACATTTTTTTCATAACATTAACAATTGAACACTTTCATTTTTAATTTATTAATAAAATTATTTTTGTTATATGTTTTACCTTTTTGCCTCTCAGATATCCTCCTCCCTATCTGCCCCCCTTCACAGAATTGTTGTCTATGTCCCTTGGTTATGCATATATGCATATAGTTCTTTGGATTATCTTATCCCTCCCCCATATTCCTCCTCCTCTGAGGTTTGTCAGGTTGAAGTGTACTTCTATCTATGTCTCTGAGACTATTTTGTTCATCAGCTTATTTTGTTTATTATATTCCACAAATAAGTGAGATCATGTGGTATTTGTATTTCTCTGATTGGCTTATTTTGCTTAGCATAATACTCTCTAGGTCCCTCCATTTTATCTCAAAGAAGACCTTTCCTTTTTATGACTGCATAATGTTCCATGGAGTATATGTACCACAGTTTTTTTATCCACTTGTATATTGAGGGACACTTGGGCTTTCCCCAGATCTTAGCAATTGTAAATAGTGCTGCTATAAACAAAGGGCATACATATATTCTTTTTGATTGGTGTTTCAGGCTTCTTAGAATATATTCCAAGAATTGGGATCACTGGGTCAAATGGCAGTTCAATTTTTAATTTTTTGAGGAGGCACCATATTGTTTTCCATAGTGGCTGCACCAGTCTGCATTCCTCCCAGCCCATTTTCTCCACACCCTCACCAACACTTGTTGTATGATGATTTGATGGCAGCCATTCTGGCAGGTGTGAGTTGATACCTCCTAATCGTTTCAATGTGCATCTCTCTGATGATTAGTGACATTGAGCATTTTTTAATATGTCTCTTGGCCATTTTTAAATCCTATTTGGTGAGGTGTCTATTTAGGTCCTCTGCCCATTATTTAATTGGTTTTTTTGTCTTCCTTTTGTTGAGTTGTATGAGTACTCTATATATTTTGGAAATTAACGCCTTATCTAATGTATCATTGCCAGTTATGCTGTCCATATAGTGGGTTCCCTTTTCATGTTGATGCTTATTTCTTTTGCTGTGCAGAAGCTTTTTAGTTTAATGTAGTCCCATGTGTTCATTTTTTCCTTTGTTTCTCTTGCCTTAGGCATTGTATCAGTGAAAATTCTGTTGCATGTGATGTCTGAAATTTTGTTGCCTACATTTTCTGCTAGTATTTTTATGGATTCACAAGTCACATTTAAGTCTTTTGTCTATTTTGAGTTTATTCTTGTGTATGGTGTAAGTTGGTGGTCTAGCTTCATTTTCTTCCATGTAGCTGTCCAATATTTCCAACACCACTTATTGGAGAGGCTGTCTTAACTCCACTGTATGCTGTTGCCACATTTGTCTAATATTAATTGAGCATAATGGCTTATGTCAATATCTGGGTTCTTCGTTCTGTTCAATTGATCTATATGCCTGTCCTTGTGCCAGTACCAGGCTGTTTTGATTATAATGCCTTTGTAGTATAACCTGATATCTGGTATTATGATCCCTCCTACTTTGTTCTTTTTCTGATGATTGCTGTGGCTATTTGCAGTCTTTTTTTGGTTCCATATAAACTTTTGGAGTATTTGTCTTAGTTCTGTGAATATGTCATTGGTATTTGGATGGGGATTGCATTTAATCTGTAGATTGCTTTGGGTAGTATGGACTTTTTTTTTTTTTGGTATGTGCCCCTAGCGGGAACCAAACCCAGGACTCTCTGGTCCACAGGCCGATGCTCCAACTGCTGAGCCAAACCAGCCAGGGCAGTATGGACATTTTAATGATGTTAATTGTTCCAATCCATGAACAAGGTATATGCTTCCACTTTTTACATCTTCCTCTATTTTATTTCTCAATTACCTGTAGTTTTCTATGAATAGGTCCTTTTCTTCTTTGGTTAAGTTTATTCCTAGATATCTCAATTTTTTTTTTTTTTTTTTTGCTACAATGTTAAATGGGATTGAATTCTAGTTTCTGTTTCTGTGAGTTTATTGTTGGTGTATTAGAATACCATCTATTTCTTGATGTTAATTTTGCATCCTGCTACCTTTCCAAATTTGTTTATTAAGTCTAGTAGATTTTTGATGGCTTCTTTAGGGTTTTCTATGAACAATATCAGGTCATCTGCAAATAATGACAGTATCACTTCCTCCTTTCAAACTTGAATTCCTTTTATTTTTTCTTCATGTCTAATTTCTGTGGGTAAAACTTTCAGTACTATTTTAAATAAGAGTTGTGAAAGTGGTCATTCCTGTCTTGTTTCTATCCTTAAGGGAAATGCTTTTAGTTTTTGCCCATTGAGTATGATGTTGGCTGTAGGTTTTTTCATTTATGGCCTTTATTATGTCAATATATGATCCCTCAATTTCCACATTGCTGCATGTTTTATCAGAAAAGGGCGCTGGATTTTGTTGAATTCTTTTTCAGCATCTATTGATAAGATCATATGGTTTTTATCTTTCATTTTGTTTATGTGGTGTTCACATTTATTCATTTGCAAATATTATACCAGCCTTGCATCCCTGGAATGAATCCCACTTGGTCATAATGAATAATTTTTTGATGTATTGCTGGATCTGATTTGCTAATTTTTTTTTTTAATTTAAAAAAAAGTTTATTTATTTATTTTTTAATCTTCACCCAAGGATATTTTTACATTTATCTTCAGACAGAGTGAGAGGGAAGGAGAGAGAGATAGAGATTGATGTGAGAAAGATACATAGATTGGTTGCCACCCGCACAACCCCAACTGGGGCCAGGGACAAACCGCAACCTAGGTACATGCCTTGGCTGGAATCAAACCTGGGACTTCTTGGTCCGCAGGCTGACACTCTAACTGCTGAGCCAGGGCCCAAGTGAGGATTTTAAAAGGAAGCTTTGACAGAAACATTAAGAAAAACATCAGAATTCAACTCCAAAAAAAAAAAAGAACAGTGCTACCAAAGGAAAATAAAGTCTTAACTGATGTTTTGAAACTGGCCATAAGAAAGGTTTATAGAATGATTCTCTGGGCATGAGCTCTAAGAGCTCTGGACATGACCAGGAGCTTCAGCTGATCCAGCTGGGCCTGCTGATTCAGATGACCTGAGGGGTACCTGGCAAGCACAGTGCAATCTCTCTGGTTCCATCAACAGCAAGTCCTTCAGCACCATCACAGAGTACTCTCCAGTGTGTTATAGTTGTCCTTAAAGCTCTTCAATTCAAGGAAGTGCTTGGCATGTTTACTCTTCTGATTGGAGGGGAGGTATGTCACCTGGATCGTTGTTGGGGAAACTTCAGGAGACTGGGTTAGGTCTTTGACTGCCGATTGATGTTGTCACTGGGAGCTACCACTTCATGCTTTGACCACTGTGGCCAGCTCACTCAGGGCCTCCTGATAGCGCAGGTACTCTCTCTGGCCAAAGACCCCGTCCCATGGCGGGCTGTCCCATAGCCATCCAACAGGGTATCAATGAGGGCCTTGCGCACACCCTTGAAAGGAGTACTAGTGTTTCGAAGATCTAGCAGGTAGAAGTGAAAATTCTTGCCCATTAAGGAATGGAGATGCCGGCCTTCAGCATGAAATGGGATCTCAGAGGCATGGATGGCATTCAGAGCCTTCATCCTGTATAAATAGTTGTAGCAATTCTGATTTTCTTGGATGTCCAGCTGTAGTAGACTTGCATCATCATCCCCAAGGAGCTCAGGCTCATACTTGATATCCTGAACCCTGGATAGTCGAATATCAATGTCCTCTTTTAAGTCCTTGGGGGCATTGTGTCCCAAAGGGACATGAGGTCCCCTTCGGGATTTCATTACAAAGTGCATGATTTGCCTCTTTACAAAAATAAATAGCAGTACAAACACGAGGCTTCCGTAGGCCATTACCAGCACTACATTCACCCCCGACAGCCAGTTACTGCTGGACGCCATGGCCTCTACACCCCGTGCAGAAGTGCTCCGGTTTACCCCGCTGCCTTGCCTCCTCAGCCCAGGCTTCTCCGAAGCAACGGCGCCTGGGTTCTCTGAAGCCCCCTGGCCATTTCCTTATGGGAAAAGTGATTTGCTAATATTTTTAAGGAATTTTGGCATCTATGTTCATCAGGGATATTGGCCTGCAGTTTTCTTTCTTTGTAGTGTCTTTATCTGGTTTTGGAATTAAGATCATGCTGCCTTCTAGGAAGTTTTCAATTTCTTCCTTAATCTCCTTGGTAACCCATTCATTTTTTGTTAACATACTATTTAGTCTCCATGTGTTTGAATGCTTTTGAGTATTTTTATTGTTATTGATTTATATTTTTATGCCATTGTGATCTAAGAAGATGTTTGATATGATTTCAATCCTCTTGAACTTGTAGAGACTTAGTTCATGCCCTAACATGTGGTCTGTCTTTGAGAAAGTCCCATGTGCACTTGAGAAGAAAGTGAATTCTGCAGCTTTGGGGTGTAATTCTCTGTAGATATCTATTAAATCCATTTGATCTAGTGCTTTATTTAGAGTCTCTATTTTCTTGCTAATTTTTGTCCAGAGGATCAATCCAGTGATGTCAGCAGGGTGTTGAAGTCCCCTGCTATGATTGTATTGCTGCTGATTTCTCCTTTGAAGTCCTCCAGCTGTTTTCTAATGTATTTAGGTGCTCCTATATTGGGTGCATATATGTTTACCAAGGTTATATCTTCCTGTTGGATAGATCTTTTCAATAGTATGTAGTGACCTTCTTTGTCTCTAGTTATGACCTTCATTTTGAAATCTATTTTGTTTTATATGAGTATCGGTACCTCACTCTTTATTCCTTTCTGTGTGCTTGGAAGATTTTTTTCCATCCCTTCACTTTCAACCTACGTGAGTCTTTTGTTGTGAGGTGGGTCTCTTGTAAACAACATATAGATGAGTCATGCTTTCTTATCCAATCAGCTACTCTGTGTCTTTTTATTGGAGCATTCAATCCATTTACATAAGATGATTATTGATATGTACTTATTTATTGCCATATTTGTTTAGTGTGATTATATTTTTCTTCCTCTTTCTTCTACTAATTATAGCAGTGCTTTTAACATTTCTTGCAGTGCTGGTTTGGTGCTAATGTATTCCCTTAGCCTTTTTTTTTTTTTCCTGTCTGGGAAGCTCTTTTTTGACCTTCTATTTTGAATGATAGCCTTGCTGGATAGAGTAGTCTTGGATTCAGATCCTTGTTTTTCATGATCTTGATTACCTCATGCCATTTCCTTCTGGCCTGTAGTATTTCTCTTGACAAGTCAGCTGATAGCCTTATGGGGGTTCCTTTGTAGGTAACCTGTTGCTTATCTCCTGATGCCTTTATGAGTCTTTCTTTGTCTTTAATTTTTGGCATTTTAATTACTATGTGTCTTGATTTGGGTCTGTTTGGGTTCTTCTTACTTGGGGCTCTCTGTGTTTCTTGAACTTGAATGCCTTCTTCCTTCACCAAATTAGGAAAGTTTTCTGTCAGTATTTCTTCAAATATATTCTCTAACCATTGTTTATTTTTTTTTCTTATCTGGGGACTCCTGTGATGCCAATATTATTACATTTCCACTTGTCCCGCAGTTCTCTTAAGCTGTCTTTCTGTTTTTCAGTTGTGTTTTTTTTTTTTTCTATTGGTTTTCTGATTGATTGATTTTTTCTACCCTGTCTTTTAATTCACTGATCTGGTCCTCAGCTTCCTCTACTCTGCTGGTTTGTCCTTCTAACGTATTCTTTATTTCTGCTATGTCATTCTTCATTTCTTCTTAGTAGTTTTTCATTTCCAATTGGTTGATTTTCAATGTTTCTATGTCTTGACTCATGGTGTTGATGTCCTTACTCATGCTGTTGAGCTTCCTCAATATCATGGCTCTGAATTCTACCTCTGATTACTTGCTTAATTGCATTTTATTTATCTCATCTTTGGTAGAGGTCTTTTGTTTTTTCATTTGGTATTTGTTTGTTTGTTTCACCATTTTGACTATCTTAGTGGGTTTGGAGCCTGCCAAATATTCCCTGTGGGTGTTGGTGTTCTCTGTTTATGGCTCTTTTTACTGGGTTTAGATGAGTGTGGGAGGACCCATGTTAAACACCACTGTTAAGTCTTACTTGCCTGCATAGATTTTCAAGCCCAGGAAAGGTTCAGTTATTTTTTAGCTTTTTGCCTGGAGGCTATTAGTCAGGTTACTTGAAGAGCCTTTGGGTTCTCTGTTGAATGAAAAACTCTCTCAGGTGTTCTGCATAGGAGGATTTTAAGAGCATGGGGCAGCCCTGGCCAGTTTGGCTCAGCGGTTAGAGCGTCGGCCTGCAGTCCTGAGAGACCCGGGTTCAGTTCCCGCTAAGGGCATGTACCTCGGTTGCAGTTTGTCCCTGGCCCTGGTTGGTTGTGCGGGTGGCAGCCACTCAATATGTTCCTTTCACGTCGATGTTTCTCTCTCTCTCTCTCTCTCTCTCTCTCTCTCTCTGTTCCTCTCTCTCCCTCCCACTCTACCTGAACAAAAAACAATGGAAAAATGTCCTCGGGTGAGGATTAAAAAAAAAAAAAATCTTTAAGAGCATGGGACAGATGCTGGTTGTTAATGAGCCTCAATTTGCATTTCAATGGCCCACCTGGGTGGGGTTGAATCTCCAAGGGAGGGGCCACTGCCTCTCCCCAGAGCCCTGGGAAGAATAAGGTGACCACTGTCCTGCATGGCTGCAACTAAGCAGAAACTCTTAGCACCCTCCAAATCCCGGGTGTCCCCATACAGTTTCAGTCTTGTCTGCCTTCCCTCTGTCGGATTCCAAGGTGAGTGTCTGTGGCTATTTTAGTGCTCTGTACCAGCCCTCTGTGTTGTGGAGTAGGCTTGGGATTTTAACCCCAAGGGCACTGGTCACAGCTAAGACCACTGCAGCCCATGGGCTCCCAGCCCCCCTCTTGTGCCTCCACAATTCTACCAGGATTCATTCTGTGTCCCTGGTTATATGGTCCTCACATGCTGCTCTTCTGTTGCTTTTTCCTGACCATTTGTCTTTATTTTAGTTGTAATTCCTTTTTGGTCCTGGGAGATGGTTTGTGCAGTTTCCATTCACTCCACCACCATTTTTGAATCTCTGAAGTGTTCTTGAGCTGTGCTTGGTAAGCAAATCTCTCTACAAAACTTCTCTTTATAAGAAGGGAATAACTGTATAGAAAACAAAATTGCTTGTTGATGGTAAAAGATAATGAAAAGTTTCACTACTAATGGTGTTAAATCAAAATTCACATTCTGAAGAGAAATATGGACTTCTTGATCAAAACAAAAATAACACAAAGAATAAAAACTCAATAACCTTCCTCAGGCAACTTCACACATGAAATCTCTTTCAAGTCGTTTTCCAGTTTTACTTTATAAAAATAGAATCTTGTTTTGCTTTTTGCATTCTTTTCTATTTAAGTCAAGTGTTTAGGCTCTTAAATTCAATGCCATGGACCATAAAAACTATTGGAGGCCCAGAATTTATTATCAAGTGGATCAGGAAACTGCCACATTTTGCTTTTTTTCTGATTATCTAAGGATTGTGATTCAACTAACCAAACAACAACAAGAACACTCCATTAGATTAAAACATAAATAAATGACCCCCTGTGCAGTTTGTTTATATTGTGTTTACTACCTGCAAAGTGCCATAATGGTGAAAATGCTAACTTAGAGATGAGACAAAATTTAACTTGAGCTGTTTGACACAAACCAGAATGCTCTGAGCATTGGTTGCCAGGAGCAGAGTTGTGACTTTTGCTCTCACTACAGAGGCATCTCCTCTGCAGGTGGGGCATTTGGTGCCAGGAACCAACAGGACCTTTGTAACGAATGTAAGGGAAAGGAAGTCTTACGCACAATGGGTTTGGGTGGAGAGACTATGTGTCCCTGACTGTAGTACAGAATTTAGTGCAGGGAACAGTAGTGATTGTAGCTTAAAGTGGAAGGTAACACACCTCTAAGGAGTCATTTCCAAGGGAAAGTACCCCCACCTCCACCCTGGGAAGATAGTATCTGGCTATCTTTGTTCATTAATCTTTTAAGTTAATGGGAGACATGGCTGACATTTTGGGTGGCTAGTTTCTGGGCAGGGACCTGTGAAAGGCTGTACAGAAAGAAGGGAACAGAACAACACTGGCTGTTTGGAGTAATGCAAAAGCACAGATGATGAGAGGGGATTTTGAAGGCTAAAGCTGGAGCTGGATTATTTTATTGTTTCTTGCTAAAAACTCTCAGACATCACAGAAGATACAATATCAAAGAAAGAACTGTTGGGGAAAAAAAGATGCTTTTTTTCCCCACATCCTACCCTTTGAAGTTTGACAATGAGAGAGGTGGCTATTGATCAAGTTGAGATCCAACAGTACTTTGAAGTCATCAAGCTGGGAGCCAGTACATGTCTTGAAGGGCAAAACTTGGTGCTTACATAATTAACATAAATGAGAACATTGAAAAGAAGTCATTATTATTGTGTGTCATTATTTTATTGTTTTAACTATGTAAAAAATGGATTTACATGTCACAGCTGCCTCCTTTGATTTAAAATAATGATACAAGCACAAGCTCTTTGTGGCAGCCCTTAGACCTGTCATTGTCTTGGTAATTTGTGTGAGGTGTTTTGTGGGGTCTGGCAGTCCACCTCTTGATGAACTGACTGCCAAGTCACAGGTTCTGGTTTGGTTCAATATGGTACATACTTATTCAACCCTACCAGATACCAAGACAGAGTGTTCCCAACACAGTAGAGAGAAATTTAAAAAATTAATAACAAGACTTCCAGTCAAGATGGTGCTGTAGGTAAATGTGGTACTTGCCTGCTATCACAACCACATCAAAATCACAACTAAACTACAGAAGAACCATCATTCAGAACCACCTGAAATTGAGCTAAATGGAAGTCCTACAACTATGAAAGTAAAGCCACATCAAGACTGGTCAGGAGGATGGAGGCG